AGTTATGATACTGGAAACGTCATAATGATGGCGTAGAGTGAAACCCTAAAAAAAAATTGAGATAGGAAGCTTTCACTCTACTCCATCGAATAAGTTAAGTAGTTCGTTATGTTGTGTATTTTAATTAAATTAGACTTTTTTAACAGATTTAAATATTGTACATTAAATTTAATAGGAGTCTGAGAATGACAGCTGACAAGAAGCTGCCAGGATGTTTGTCAACTCATCAAGAAAATTAAAATTTTTAAATATTTTGAATTGTGTTTCAAAAATTTACATTATCTCTGCAATGAAATCTGAAGCCCGCTCTGCTCACGGATTACTTTTTTTAATATATTCGTCTGGATGAATTGGATAGCGTTTCGTTAATTTTGGCTTTCTTGGAAACATATTTATGCGACAAAAAACGCTTAGCAATAATCCGTTGTTGTTGTTGTTATTTAGGAAACATCTTTTTTTTCGGGAGATGATCTCTCCAAATTGAATTAAATCTGTTTCATTTTTTTTATATCTTTTGTTTTTTGGAATACACGCGTTTAATACCAATAATAGACGGTTTTTTTCATAATACAAAAAAGTTACAGGGGTACATTTCAATTAGGATCAAAACATTATCAATAAAAAAATGGAAAATTTTTATTATATGAATTTAAATCAATGAGATTGTATTAAAGAGATTTTTCAGATGAAATCGACTATTAAATGTAGATTATGATCTTTCATTTGCGAATACTGAGGTTAAATTATGTCAGCTTGAAAATTAGTGAGTGGGATGATCTCAACGCTTTCCACTGCGACCCAGATAGATCTATTGTGACTAACTCAAGATAAACAAGATAAACATTTTAATAGAGGCCATGGTTTAAGAGGAACATAGTACCTTATTCTTAAAAAAAACGGAAGAGCTTAAAATAGGATAAATTAAAAGTTTTAATTTACAGTGATTGGGCATATACAGCAGTCAAAAAAGTCTCGTCAAATTATGTTGAGGACGTACAATTAAATATTTTTTAAAAAATTCCTACAACTAGACGAATAGAAATTAAGAATCGTATGTTACTTCAGTAGCTATTATTTAAGATGTACATTTATGAAACTCACTCTAACGAAGAGCAAACTACCATTCACTTTATTGAAAAATGAAAATAACATGCAGTATCTATTTGCCCTATCTCCGAAAATACAGAATGATATTTCTGGTTAAGAAAGTTAGGAAGTAATAATGTTCCAATCATTCTTCTAAAAGAAATCACATACTAACGGTATGTTCCTGCGCATGCAGCTGACTGACGGTGACGTCACGTGGGACATAGAATTATAAGCACTAAATGGGAGATAATGTTTAAAATTCGCTATTTTGCCAATTTAAAGCCTGGTGCAGATCAATAAATATTTACGTTGTGCGTTGTATTTGACGCAAATTTGCTCGTGTTTGTCAAAATATTTCTAGATGTGGACTGTGCACCGCACAAAGAAACACGCAAATATTTGCGCCAGATACAACACACGCTATCCACCGATCTGTCGGTTTTTCTGCCAACTTCAAAGAAATTTGCGTCAAGCGACCCTTGAGTGCTTGTTTTAATGTGGACTTCAATATTTTTTTAGTTTGTACTATTATTTCATTCCCAAATTATTCTTACGAACGACGCACGAAAAGGGATCGCAATAGATACACCAACACAACGCACATATTTGCGCGACAAAATCACAATAAAAAAAATATTTGCGCCACAAATATTTTTGTCGAATTCAACACACAACATTCAACAAATAAATTTATTAATGTGGACCCGGCTTTAGATTTCATGCAGTTACTTAAGCTTTATTGGTTATTTTGTAATAAATTCGTTTACAAATAGGAAGGTTTAAGGTAAATAATACTAATAAAAATATTAATAATTTTTCTCATAAATTATAAGTATTTTGTGACAAAATCCATAACCTGGTCATAAAATAAGTAAAAGATATAGACTAAAAATACAAGTTTGACTCAAATTTGTACTTTCTGGACGTGGTAGTTCTCTTGAAGTCTCTTTTCTTATTATGTAAAATAAAAATAAGTGTGCAAAAACAAATTATTTATTTATAAAAAGTAAGTACACAGAAACATTACTTTTTATTTGGTAAATTTAAACATTTTTTGTCAAGTTTACTTTGAAAATACTCAAAACCAATTTTTCTGTATTTATCTTATTATTATATATGTTTGTGTCCTGCTCATACGTGACATTACTTCAAAAAGACCGTTGTACTGGGACAGGAAACTACTGTTTTATCTACTAAAATTTTTAAATACCGATTTATTTTCTTTGCTTAATGAGGCCCGTGCACCTGGTGGAATTCAGTTTCCTTTTCTTGCGTCTATGTTTAAGAGGAATCTCACAACTACTTTCCTCAAAGTGGATAGGGCAACTTCAATTAAGTTTGTCCTTTCTTCGATAAGAATTTACCCATATTTTATGGCATTCGAAAATATCGAAAAGTGTCAAAATAACTTGAAAGTTCGTCCCGCATTACATCCCGAATCGAAAGTTAGCATACCATTAGTATGTGTATCGTGAGAGAATTCTTTTTGATATCTCAATAAGGAAATAATTGAGGGGGTGTAGAACTTTTAAGTAGCCCATCCTGGATAATGCAAGTTTTAAGAAAAAATTATAAAATATGTGGTTCAACTTATTAAGATCTACTTGATGTACATTTTCATGTATTTAGTGTAGAAAATATTTTTAGAAAACTTGTGTAATACGTATCTAGTTGGTCTTAGTTATGTCATTCTGTGTTATATGTAATAAAATTAATCTTATTAAAACTCCTTCTTTTTTGTGGAAATATAACCCCCTCTTCTGTAACTCTAAACTAGTTTTGAGTAATGAGCAAGGCAGTTGGTGTAATGACTAAATACTCTAAATAGCTATTCCTCGCCCAAGTAACAATTTAACGTTGCATCTAAGTGTTCAAAAGGTAGTTTCACTCTCGACAGTCGTACTTAAAAATATCTTCTAATGGTGAATACTAAAAGTTCAAGATTCTCAATACTAAAAAATGTTATTTTTGTAAGAGACTATACACAACACATGCAAGTTTATATATATGGATACGTTATAATTTTAAGTAAAATCCATCCGGCAACGTCGCAAATATATGAATGGTGGGCTACAGAAATTTGTGACTTCCTCCTACTAATTTTAAAGGTTTGTTTTGGTTCAAACAGAACCGTCAATTACAGCTCTCTAATACAGTGGACGAATTAATTTTTCAAGAACACGTCACAAAGATATAACCTCTTAGCTAATTGAGTGTAATTCAGTTACCGCGCGTTAAGTGTAGGGATTAAAATGTTGCCAAGTTGTAATTATTATACGCCACTACGCGTCGACTGCTTTAAAAATATTTTTATTTTAAAAATCTATATTTAAATGGAAAGGTATTCCATTTAAAAAATTGAGAAAATCGTTACCCCACATTTTGACACACCCTATATACAACATAGCATATAAATGAAGTCTATTAAAACTGTTTGACGATGTAAAAACAATCAAATATGTAGAGATAAACTGCACAGTTTTGGGTTAAAAATGTATACGTTTGGCCAGCCTCTCGTTTATGGACCAGCCTGTATATTTAAGAATATTTATTAAACATGATCAGGCAAATTTAATATTATTTTATGTATTTCCAATAAACAGCAATATTTTTTAAAAACATTAAAGGGTTGAATATAGTATTACCATTCTAAAACTGTTCTATTTACAAACTATACATTGTTATTTCCCTGAAAAAACCGCAACACCCTGTATATCCAAAAATATTTTTAAAATGCGTATTTTTTAAATCCATACATCTTTTATTCAAAACTGGTTTAAATGTCAATAACACAAACTGAAATATTGAACAAATACTCACTAATGGGACACCCTGTATATGAATTGTTTCTAGAAAATTAAACTAAGCCTTTTTAATTCTTTTTGTCTATGGCCCTAATTCTAATGGCATAATAGTAGACCATGCTTACATATATAATTATTACAATTTAAACATGGCGTAGTACTAGTAGCGCATCCAGAGTTTATGTCTGGGGGTGTAGTGGTCATAAAGTTTAGGTATAGAGGGGGGGTAGTAGTAATATTTAAGACTTTATTTTTGATAATAATACATTTTAGTACCTATAAAAAATTAGTTTTAAATATTCTTTGGGGGAGGGCAATAACCCCCATTAGCTCCATTAGGTCCCGTATATGCGCCCCTATCTAGTATAATAGTAGTATAATAGCAGTATAATAGTAGTATAATAGTATTATAATAGTAGTATAATAGTACTATAATAGTACTATAATAGTAATATAATAGTAGTATAATAGTACTATAATAGTAGTATATAAGTAGTAAAATAGTACTATAATAGTAGTATAATAGGCGTCAACACGACTTTGGATATCTGATGACTAAAAAATATACTAATTTTCAACGTTGGTTGTCCAGGCAACTAATTTTTTACCTGTGAATCTAGTGCCACGTAAAATGCTCAACCAGTTGTTCCCAGTCTACAGTTACCTGTCTAGCACAGCTGATTAGGCACCTTGGTAATACGTCATTTTCTCTCGTGGTTTTAACCTCTTTTTCAAAGAGTATGCGCTCGCTTAATTTTCTACTGTCAATAAAGTGTTATAGTTTATTTGGTGTTGTATGAAAGATTTTCCAAGACAAATTGCGAATTAATTACAATATCAGAAGCGCCAATGGACTCGGGTATCCGACCAAAAGACTTTCTTTTAAGATTACATATTACTATTGGTAAGGTATGTGTAAAAAAATGCATTTGTAACTCGTAAAACTTTTTTTTAATTCGAGAAATGCTGTCAAGTCTCGAGTAAAATATATTTTTTTGGTATTTGGAAGATTCAAATTTTTTTAGGAAGTAGGTTAAATTTTTCAGAAGTGGGACAAAATCTAGTTACAAAATGAAAAATAAAATGGTACAATTATGTTGAACTCACCTGAACAGTTGATTTCGTCAGTATTGTCCATGCAATCCCTGAAACGATCGCACCTTTTTGAAGACGGCAAACACTGATCATCACACGCGAATTCGTTGGCATTACATTCTATAAAAAAAAATTATTTCATACAATCAAGTAATTTACCATAGAGAAAAATAGTTAAAAAAAAACAGGAAAAATTAAATTGAATGTAGACTTTGAATATTAAGCACCATTGGGATAGAATAAGAAGGAGATGTTATGACGATACTAACTGTCCGCACATTTGCATTACACTTTTACGTCATATGTCAAACTCGAGATTCATGTTTTTGACCGATTGTGTTACAGAACCATTAGTTAAAGATAAAAAACTAATCTCTCTGTATCTGTAACGTGTGGAGGGTGCGTTACCCCCACGGCACTTGAGCCTCACTAGGCCCATTGTGCATCCTCCTAAGACGATAGGTACCTCCTAGGTCGTGAGCCAGTCTACAGATTTAATGTAGTTGACAACGTCGCCAAGAGGTGCTTCTCTTATATCGGCCGGTGCTAGCCGATACTCGTCGAACACAAATCTCCTAATACATGATAGCATCGAGCAATCGTAGAGGATATGCTCGATGATCTCATCTTCTTGTTCGCACCCTCTGAGTACGGATTCTGACAGCCCCATGATATGAAGATGCTTTCGTACTTGGCCATGACTAGTCCGAATGCCTGTGACTAGGCACAGATTCTGTCTAGTCATAGTCTAGTATTTGTTTGCTGCAGTGTTGTCAGAATAACTTAAAAGCTCCCTGGCAACTCTGCAGTTTCTTGTTTTATCCTATCTTTCTTTGAATTTCAGAAGGGAATGTTCTTTAATTAGGTCTGTCACTACCGATTTTGTCAGGACAATAGAAGGGCCAGGTCCAAAAAGTATTTGTTTGGCTGCTTTCTTGGCCAGCGAATCAGCACCTTTCGATGTGGCGTGACTTTTGATCCATCTTAAGGTGACCACGTTGTTGATGGATACTTCGGCCAAAGCTTCGTGACATTCTAGTACAAACCCTGAGTAAATTCGTGGTCTGTTCAGGGTAAGTAGTGCTTGTCTGGTATCTGTAAAGATGACCATGTTCCTTCCAGTGATATAGTTTCTGGTGATTTCTTTTGCAGCTATATGAGAATCATCCCCGTGAGCTCTGTTTAAACTACACTGGCACTATTGCTCACAGCCTATTTTATGTTAAAGTTTAAGGATCTGGAGTATATTCCACATCCTGAGCCTTGTTTGGTTTTCGAATCGTTAGTGTATACATGAATCGTACCTGCCACTTCCGGCTCTTCTATTTGTTCTGTTACAACTTTATATGGCTAATGGAAGATATATCTCGGTGAGATAGAGTCCATGTTCACTTGAAGCAGTGGGAGCGTATCGAGCGCCTCCTACCAAAAGCCACGTCTCGCCTCACCAGATCCTACATCAGGTTCTATTCCAACCAATAACAAGACGATGGTCATATTGCCAAACCGTGTCTAGTACCCAAATTGGCAATAAGAAACACTTATGGATTCACCTTGGTGGCTCTCTATCTCTCCGTCTGTCACAGTCTTTTTACTCAGAAACTATTTGACATACACAATTGAAATTTGAATTAATCAGTTGCCCAAATTAGGCGTTAACTAAAAACGTAGATTTTTTGTCTTGGAAGTCAGTGAGGGGGGGGGAAGTTAAGAAAGAAGTTATAGAATTTTGATGGCAAAGTACGATATCAAATAAAACCTTTTTTGAGGAATGTTTTACGTTCGTTTGCTTTATTTTTACAACATAAAATTTGACACCAACAATTGTGTCACAAAAAGTTTTATACAAATGGAAAATAATGTATCTTATTTTTCACAAAAAAATCTTGTTAAAGAGATCTATATCACTTCGAAACTCACAATCAAGTCTCAAATTTGATAAAAATAAAAAAAATCTAATACACACTCCTGACAACACTGCAGCAAACAAATACTTGACTATGACTAGACAGAATCTGCGCCTAGTGACAGGCATTCTGACTGGTCATTGCAAAGTACGAAAGCATCTCCATATCATGGGGCTGTTAGAATCCGCACTCTGCAGAGGGTGCAAACAAGATGAGACCATCGAACGTATCCTTTACGATTGCTCGACGCTCTCATTTATTAGAAGATTTGTGTTCGGCGAGTATCGACTAACACCGGCCGATATAAGAGAAGCGCCTCTTGGCGACGTTGTCAACTACATTAAATCTGTAGACTGGCTCACGAGCTAGGAGGTGCCTATCATTTCAGGAAGATGCACAATGGACCTAATGAGGCCTAAGTCTCGTGGGGGTAACCCATCCTCCACATGTTATAAATACAGAGAGATACACACTTATTATTGATTTAAATATTTACTGAATAGAGTAAATTGCAATCACAATGAATATAACCTATTTCATTTGAAATTTTAATTTTAAGTTGATAAAAAACTTCTTCCAGCTTCATATTTTTAATTAATTTTAAATAAATAAGATGACAAAAAAGTTTCTTATATATCACTATTACAGAGATATTGCAAATTTCTATAACATCAGCCACTCATAGTTCATCTAATAATTCCTCTTTGTTGTTGTCTATAATAGTACATAATATGGAAGAGGCATTAGAAACGGTCTTTTTAGAAGATATTAAATATTTAATATTAGAATAATTTTGAACTAATACGAATGTCGGCGACCGCAACCGAATGATATAAAGTCGCCACTATTTGCTGCTGTTAAATATTCTTAATTAAGGACAAGCACTACCTATCTTTAATAAAATCAGTTCTAGAATTTAAACGATCTGCGCATACTTAGACGTCAAAATAAGAGCGACGCGGCTAATAGTGACTGACCTTAAGGCTGAGACAATTTTGTAACAGAGCAAGTATTACATATATTCTACATAAATGGCGATAAATAAATTTATTTAAATGATTATTATCGGTATTAGGTAATTCGTGTATTATTAGCAACTAAATTACATATTACTCTAAAACCGTAAGAGATATATGAGAAAAATAGAAGAAACATAATTTGCTTTAAATAGATAAGATGTAAATATTCAATACTAAACAGGTCCGTATTATTTATTTTTGCGAAATTATGGTACTTATGTATCAAATAGCACTGAAATATCGTTTGCCACTAAATAATAATAAAATCTAAACGCATCAAAACACCATATATTTGGAAAACAAAACGATATTTTTAAAATTAGGTGAAAATTCTCTTTCTTCCCTTTCTCAGAGGAGTTACGAAATACATTATACAAAAAGGAGTAAAGAAAATATTGTTAAAATGTTCTCATTTAATTAGTCTCCTTCTTTCTTTATCGCTCAGTCCAATTAAAGTTTAATACAGGTACAACAATAATTAATAAAATGGACAAATAATATTCAGAGTAATGAAAATGAAGGATTCTTTTTGAAACTAATTTTGCAAGTTAATTATCCTGGAATACTACACTAACAGAACTATTTTATTATTTGAAATTCAAAACATACATTCAAATATCACTATTTCAATGACCTCTAGTCTTCAATTCAAAATACAAACCAAATAGCACTCTCTACCGTTATTCTGAATATCGATTTGAACAACACTATAGTTGCAGTAACCAACACGCGCTTACTGAAGACTTAAATCAATTTCCAAGAGAGGGCGCTGCGAAAGCACCATTGAAATTTTTGATTGAACTTTTAATTTTTAAAATTTGGACATCTTATTTCATTGAAATAAATCGATTCTTATTACATTTTACCCAAGAAAAGCAGTTTTTCAATAAATTTTTGTGTAAATGACATTTCTAGATACACTTCATTCATTTTGTAAATGATAATTTATTGTTGGTACCTTTTCTGCAGTTGTGTTCATCGGTACCATCTGTGCATTGGGCTGTACCATCACATCTTTGCTGTACTGGAATACACCTGTAGACGTCGCATTTGAATTCTCCAATTCTGCATTCTGCAAATACAAAATCATGATCAGCACTTTAAAAAATAATAGAAATGTTTTCAATGTAGGATCAGTTTTTGTTAAATTGTTGTACAGAATGATTTATACATACAATAACATAAAGAGATAGGTAATAGATGCCCAATTTCTAAAATTACCAAACTATAGTAGGTCTATACAGTACGTTAACCAACACATCAAACAAAATAAAGATAAGACAATTATATTTCGACATGAGCTGCATGAAGGGAGTAACTTGGTTTAGCTACGCCCTTTCGGTGGTAAGGACGGTATATTAGGGCCCGCTGTTGGCAATGTATTATTCTGTTTTTGTCTATTCAATAGCATGGTTTTTTATATCGTTCTTCTAGAGTCGGTATTGGAAAGTTAACGTACTGTTTATTTTTAAATCTAAAATAAATCGTTTTATTTTTTTTAATAGTTCATTTATTTCGAATAATTCGTTATTTGATAGGTTGAATTCGGAATAATTTATTTAAACAAATTTTCTATGGAGCAGTTGATGTCATTGATATTTGTATAAGTGGAGCAAGATCTAATTAATCACATATATTATTGACATTACTACGATATTTAAAAAATCACTCGTACATTTTCAGTAGAATAGATATATGAAACCTATCAAGTAGATGACTTTTACTTATGTACTATTTATATACTATTTGTGTATTTTTTGTACTGTTTATGTACTTTGCGTACTATTTGTGTACTATATGAACTATATGCGTACTATGTGCGTACTATATGCGTACTATATGCGTACTATATGCGTACTATATGAACTATATACGTACTATGTGCATACTACATGCGTAAATTTTTTTTTACTATTTGTGTATTATTTGTGTACTATTTGTGTACTATTTGTACGTACTATTTACGTACTATTTACGTATTATTTACGTACTATTTACGTTCTATTTACGTACTATTTACGTACTATTTACGTACTATTTACTTACTATTTACGTACTATTTACTTACTATTTACTTACTATGTACTTACTATGTACGTACTATTTACGTACTATTTACGTACTTTTTACGTACTTTTTACGTACTATTTATTTACTATTTGCGTATTGTTTTCTATCTTTTTGCGTACTATTTCTATATTATTTGGAGAACAATGTGTACTAAAGTAAAAAATTTATACAGCTGTTTACCCTTCGGAAAAGAAAAACATGAACCTAATTTGTATACATAAAAACATAATGTACAATATTTTCCGAATTTGCAAGCAACTAGATTGACTGTATGGTTACGGTTTACCATCTAAATCAATACATACCACGATTTTTGTGTAATAAATGTAATTTTTTTTTAATTTTAATATTTAAAAAATTAAGGGGGTAGCAACCCCTCTAAAAAGTAATTTATTCGTTACTTATTCCGCGTACTGTATACATGAAGAGCTTGCTTTTATTACTCGATTATCTTTTTTCCAGGTGCTGCCATTTAGAATTCTGGGATGCTATGTAAAAACTGATAGATTTCATTGATATTTGTATAAGTGGAGGAAGGTCTAATTAATCAGATATAATATTGACATCACTACATATTTGAAAAACCAATCGTACATTTTCAGTAGAATATATGGAACCTATCAAGTAGATGACTTTTACTTATGTATTATTTATGAACTGTGTATTTTTTGTACTGTTTATGTACTTTGTGTACTATTTGTGTACTATGTTTATTATTTGTGTACTATATGAACTATATGCGCACTATATGCGTAATATTTGTGTATTATTTGTGTATTATCTGTGCACTATGTGTGTACTATTTGTGTACTATTTGTGTACTATTTGTGTACTATTTGTGTACTATTTGTGTACTATTTGTGTACTATTTGTGTACTATTTGTGTACTATTTGTGTACTATTTGTGTACTATTTGTGTACTATTTGTGTACTATTTGTGTACTATTTGTGTACTATTTGTGTACTATTTGTGTAGGTACTATTTGTGTACTATTTGTGTACTATTTGTGTACTATTTGTGTACTATTTGTGTACTATTTGTGTACTATTTGTGTACTATTTGTGTACTATTTGTGTACTATTTGTGTACTATTTGTGTACTATTTGTGTACTATTTGTGTACTATTTGTGTACTATTTGTGTACTATTTGTGTACTATTTGTGTACTATTTGTGTACTATTTTGTACATTTTGCACTATTTTGTTCTATTTAGTACCATCTGGAACTAAGTGCGTAGGATTCTGAAATATTTCCACTTGTAAGGTGTTGGTGACCTGGAGAAACATTAGCAACGACCGTTTTTTAGAACTTAATTTTAATAGCTACAACTTTTTTTTAGGTTATCAACTGAGTTTTAATAGCTGCGACTTTTTTATGTTATCTACCTAATTTTTATTTATTCCAGTACTACATCAGTACAATTTCAATACTATTTCTGTACTATTTCAGTATTGTTTCAATAGTAATTCAGTAATTTTTCAGTACTATTTCAGTACTATCTCAATACTATTTTAGTATTAGTTTAGTACTATTTCAGTATTATTTCAGTACTATTTCAGTACTATTTCAGTACTATTTCAGTACTATTTCAGTACTATTTCAGTACTATTTCAGTACTATTTCAGTACTATTTCAGTACTATTTCAGTACTATTTCAGTACTATTTCAGTACTATTTCAGTACTATTTCAGTACTATTTCAGTACTATTTCAGTACTATTTCAGTACTATTTCAGTACTATTTCAGTACTATTTCAGCACTATTTCAGTACTATTTCAGTACTATTTCAGCACTATTTCAGTACTATTTCAGTACTATTTCAGTACTATTTCAGTACTATTTCAGTACTATTTCAGTACTATTTCAGTACTATTTCAGTACTATTTCAGTACTATTTCAGTACTATTTCAGTACTATTTCAGTACTATTTCAGTACTATTTCAGTACTATTTCAGTACTATTTCAGTACTATTTCAGTACTATTTCAGTACTATTTCAGTACTATTCCAGTACTATTTCAGTACTATTTCAGTACTATTTCAGTACTATTTCAGTACTATTTCAGTACTATTTCAGTACTATTTCAGTACTATTTCAGTACTATTTCAGTACTATTTCAGTACTATTTCAGTACTATTTCAGTACTATTTCAGTACTATTTCAGTACTATTTCAGTACTATTTCAGTACTATTTCAGTACTATTTCAGTACTATTTCAGTACTATTTCAGTACTATTTCAGTACTATTTCAGTACTATTTCAGTACTATTTCAGTACTATTTCAGTACTATTTCAGTACTATTTCAGTACTATTTCAGTACTATTTCAGTACTATTTCAGTACTATTTCAGTACTATTTCAGTACTATTTCAGTACTATTTCAGTACTATTTCAGTACTATTTCAGTACTATTTCAGTACTATTTCAGTACTATTTCAGTACTATTTCAGTACTATTTCAGTACTATTTTGGTACTATTTCAGTACTATTTCAGTACTATTTCAGTACTATTTCAGTACTATTTCAGTTCTATTTCAGTACTATTTCATTACTATTTCAGTATTATTTCAATACTATTTCATTACTATTACAGTACTATTTCAGTACTAAGTACGTACTATCTGCGTACAATTTACATACTATTTGCATACCATTAGCGTAACAATTGTGTACTATTTGCGTATTATTTGTGTATTATTTTTGTACTTTTAGCGTACTATTTACGTACTATTCACGTACTATTTACGTACTATTTACGTACTATTTACGTACTATTTACGTACTATTTACGTATCATTTACGTACTATTCACGTACTATTTACGTACTATTTACGTACTATTTACGTACTATTTACGTACTATTTACGTACTATTTACGTACTATTTACGTACTATTTACGTACTATTTACGTACTATTTACGTACTATTTACGTACTATTTACGTACTATTTACATATTATTTACGTACCATTTACGTACTATTTACGTACTATTTACGTACTATTTACGTACTATTTACGTACTATTTACGTACTATTTACGTACTATTTACGTACTATTTACGTACTATTTACGTACTATTTACGTACTATTTACGTACTATTTACGTACTATTTACGTACTATTTACGTACTATTTACGTACTATTTACGTACTATTTACGTACTATTTACGTACTATTTACGTACTATTTACGTACTGTTTACGTACTATTTACGTACTATTTACGTACTATTTACGTACTATTTGGTACTATTTGCGTATTGTTTGCTATCTTTTTGCGTACTATTTCTATATTATTTGGAGAACAATGTGTACTAAAGTACAAAATTTTTACAGCTGTTTACCCTTCGGAAAAAAAAAACATGATACCTAATTTGTATATATAAAAACATAATGTACACAGTGTACAATATTTTCCAATTGTAATTTTTTGAATTTTAATATTTAAAAAGTTAAGGGGGTAGCTACCGCTCTAAAAATTAATTTATTCATTAATTATTCCGCGTACTGTATATATGAGGGCTTGATTTTAATACTCGATTATCTTTTTTCCAGGTGCTGTCATTTAGAATTCTGGGATGCTATGTAAAAACTGATAGATGTAAGTTGTAACTTAAATCTGATTATATGAAATAAAAATAAGAAGACAGACCTAAATATTTTGATAACTTCAAAAATGGATAAGACCTCCTTATATCTCTAGTTAATGCACGTATAATCAACCTTGAATCCTATGAAATATATTTTTTGTCGTATATGATTTAATATAATATCAATTTAATAAACTGATCATACATTTTATGTAATATACACCAAGGCACTTTCATTTAAGAATAATTTCAACAGCATAGACACTACAAAATAACATTTTTAGAAAAATATAATATTTGAACAATTTTACTGTTGCACATAAAATTGCACCTTGTTTGAAGTTTGAATTTGTTTAATTATTATTGTACATTTAATAAACAAAAATGCATTGTGAGACTCGGTATCATCCATTTTATATGCAAAACAGTATGAAGTTTTATTCAAAAAATGTTATAATAACTAACACTAATTCTTCTATAATTAGTAGGTTGAAAAATAAAATAATGTAACTGACTTTTGTTGCGCCCAATTTCACTCAAAACAAAATGTCATAAAATAATATTAATTTCAAAATAGAAATACTTAGGTTAGAACCAGTTTCATCACTTTATTATCAATTCCTGTTGGTTAAAGAGAAATCCGGTAAAAACCGAAATGTTAGTAACATCAAAAATGTATTAAATATATTATTAAAAAGTAACAAACGATTATGTATAAATATTAATGGTGAAAAATAAACAGAAAGCTGGTAAAAGTGTTTCCAGAATGTTGCTATGAGCCCTCGAAGAATGTTAATGATAACGACGAAGCATGATCCATGTGTTTCCATATCTTGAAATGATGCCAATTCAGGATATTAGAGACGAAGCCAATTATTATTGTTTACGTTTATGCCTTTTAGAGTTAAGATGTTTGAAGAAATTAATCCAATGTTTTAATGGGCGATTTCAGGTAATAGAAAATAATAGACCATGTTTACAAAATTTGTCCAATAAATCTGTGCAAAGGAATAACAATTTCGTAACGTAAATTCCAAAAGAGGATCTTTTTTTCGTAAAATTTATGATACAGCTAACGTGCTTAAGGTTCTTCTGATTTCCTTTAGAACATACTAAACATATGATCCACCTCTTCACCATTGATACTATATCTTTGAACTTGATCAACCAACTGCTTTCATTATGGTAGTGATGAGTTCATTTTTAAGACCTATATAAATATCAACAAATATGCCACACATCTTGGGGTAAAGTTTTGTATCAAGCTCCCTATTTCACAAGAACGCCAATTTCTTTTGTTCAAATGTTCTCGTATTTGGAGTAGGTACTGAATTAAAAATGAACATATGATGCTCATCATTATTTCTGTTCACCATTCTTTCTTTTTAAAATAATAAAAATAACAAGACAGAATATAGTATTTAGGTAAGCAGGTTGGGTAGGTATATAAAATATATACGATTGGATTGGAATACTTACAAATCCCACCTCAGTAAATACAAAAAAAAAAAAATCGTCAGACAAAAACAGAGAGATGTATGGAGATCCTACTGCGACTAAATCAAAGATTTCCCGCAGACAGCGAAGCTTTAAAAACCTCTCTCAAAAGATTCACACCGAAGCATTGGTGCGCTAATCAAAGAAGATAGCATCAAACTTACTTCTGCTGTCAACACACTTCCCTGACTCGGTCACCACAGACGTGGCCGACTGGGCAGAAGAAGAATACAACCCATCTGATTCTCTCCATTTAAATCGCCAGGACCTGACGGTATCTGTCCAGCCCTACTTCAGTGGGATTTGGAAGAACTCACACTGCACCTGGTGGGTATATTCAGATCTTCGTTGGCTCTGAGGTATATCTCCAAAATGCCGCCAAAACGTGGGGCGCATCTGGGGTTTCTTTCCCAGAGTCATAAGACCTATGCTAACATACGGTGCAGTTGTCTGGGTACCAAAAACCCAAAAATTAACAGCTATCCGTAAACTAGAACAAATTCAAAGAACAGCATGTCTCAAAATATTAGGAGCCATGAAAACAACACCGACCAGAGCCATAGAAGTCATTTTAAGTCTCGCTTCCCTTGATATTTACATCAAGGAGGTTGCTCTGACGTCAATGACACGCCTCCGCACGGTTGGAATAGAATCTAATGTAGGGTCTGGTGAGGCGAGACGTCGCTTTTGGCAGGAGGCGCTCGATACACTACCACTCCTTCAAGCGAACATGGACTCACAAGGAAAAATGGGATGAAACAAGAAACTGCAGAGTTGTCAGGGAGCTAAGTTATCTTGACAATACTGCAGCAAACAAATACTTGACTATGACTAGACAGAATCTGCGCCTAGTCACTGGTCATTACCAAGTACGGAAGCATCTCCATACCATGGGGCTGTCAGAATCCGCACTCTGCAGAGGATACGAACAAGAAGATGAGACCATCTAGCATATCCTTTACGATTGCTCGACGCTCTCATTAATTAGAAGATTTTTGTTCGGCGACTATCGGCTCACGAGTTAGGAGGTGCCTATCATCTTAGGAGGATATACAATGGGCCTAGTGAGGCCAAAGTGCCGTTAGGATAACCCACCCTCCAAATTCTAATTTATTTTGTGGAGATAATTATTGGTTGATTATCGTAACCATTTAAGGAAGTAGTGCTAAAGCTGATATGGTACTCGTCTAGGAAGACATCTCCAACGATTTATTTGTTTAGAACCATTAGAGTTTGTTCACTTGTAACAGCAGTAAAAAAGTTAGTTAAAATGTACAGATTCATCGGATATATCTTGTAATCGTATTATGAGATTGACAAAGTATAAAAGTTATCTAGTTGATGTAAAAAAATGGTCTATTATTTTTGTGATTAGTTCCGGTTGAATAATGATCTGAATTTTGTACATTTTTCTTGTGAGCCTTTTCTTTCCTATATCCCCACATTTTTAATAAATTTGAAAAGTAAAATAAAGGAATTGAATCAAGGACGTATATTTCTTCACAGTACTTTTCAAATATTATTAAAAATGTTTATAATAAAATGTGGGTTATATAAATGTTTCTGGATTTTCTTTAAACCAATGGAAATTAGAATAAGATAAGTAGTAAATAATAAATATGGCGGACACCTCTACCATTTTTTCTTTAATAAAATATAATTTGAAAGTTTATATAAGGACTTTTTTGACTGTGTTTTAAAAGTTAGCTCTGTTTTTCAAGTATTTTTATTTAAATGCAATATTTATTAATTTGTTTTTATATTAAATCTCTATCCTGCCTTTAAATATACAGGGTGGGCCATCTGTAATGTCTCGGTCTGTGGAGTCAAAATTATTTGATTTTTTAAAAATATGTTTTCACTGCAAGATGTATATCAGAAAAGACAATTTGACAACAATTCCAATTAAACTGGGTTTTCTAAGAAAGTGATACATATCAAAGTTTTTTAAATGGGACACCCTGTATTTTATTTTATATTTGAATCGCCCTTGCTTTTCCCATTATAACAATACAAAATTATATGAGATTTTACAGGCATTTCACACGATACAATCAGTTTTAAATGAAAATCGTGTTGATTTCAATGACCTGTATAGTGCAAAAACAATTGAAAACCAATTTTTTGACGGTAAAAGGTTTTCGATATTTATTAAAATATATGCCGTTGCACTACTTTTTTTAATGAGAAACAAATTTGTACAGGGTGAGTCAAAACTCAAATATATTATTTTCTCATTTTTTTATTCATAATTTAAAAGTACCTTAATTAAAGTTTCATTTGAGTTAAGCATTCCCTATAACTAAAGTTATTAGGGAGATTTTTAAATTTAAATGACAAAAAAAATAATTCACAAAATAGTTTAATTTTAACTTGTCAATGGTTAACATGAAATAGATTGTTAATTAGTGATTTAAATTTAACCAGCTGTAATTTATTATCGACTAAAAAAAATTTTTGAAAATTTCTAATAGGACTAACATTCAGTTAAAAATAAATAGCAATAGCAACCAATTCTAGACTCACTTCATTATTATAATACGTACTTTATTCTAAGTTTATTATAATTTAAGTTGACTTTGAAACCTTAATACTGATAGTCATTAGTGTTGCAATATTTATTTTTAAAAAAGTCTAGCCAGTTTTTTAATATGACCTTAGTCGTGAAAAAGAGAAGAAAAATGCTTAAAAATGTGAGTTGAACCTTTGAAAATCATTTTAAAACCTTCATAAATATTATTGAAAGCTACTTAGATAATTTTATATAATTAAATAAAATCTATCAAAATAACATTTAATAAATTTAGAATAAAGTATGTATTATGTGAAGTTTTCGGTTGCTATTTTTTTGTTTAAATTTTTCTGAATATAAAAGTCGCACTAGGTATTGTCAAAAACTTATTCAGTCGATAAAAAATTATAGGTGGTTAACATCTAATTACCAATTAACAAACACCTATTAACCAGTGACCAGGTAAAATTAGAGTAGGTATGTTGTAAATTATGTGCTTCTCATTTAAATTTAAAAATCTCAAAATAATCAATTTTAGAATGAGATGAAACTTTAATTAAGGTACTTGTAAATGGTGATATAAAATACATGGTTGTCAATTTAATAAAACTAAGAAAATGATATATTCGAGTTTTGACTAACCCTGTACAGATGTGTGCATCGGCAGAAATGTGAAAACAGATTAAAAAGAAATCAAACAGTTTTGGCTCTACAGACCGAGGCGTTACCGGTGGTATTAGAGAATAGCCAGAGGGACTCAATCAAATTAGGGCGATACTTTTTTAAGATAACAGACAAAATATGAGAATTTGCAATAACAAAAATTTGAAGCAAATCTAAGAAGTTCAGGAAACTACGCGTACCAATATTTAGAAAATATTCCGAAACAAATATTTCTTTTGTTTATCTGAGCATGACCTTTATTTTACTTACACGTGTCACTAGTACCAATATTAGATATTAAAATACATTCACAGAACGTGTCAGATAATATTCTAAATTCGAATTGGTTAAAAAAAAAAATCTAGAAAATACCAATTAAATATCCTTAATACTTCTACCAATTCCCAAACTGTAAACCACCTGATTAAAAAACACAACCCAGCACCCTTAACTCGATTAGCTGGCAAAGATCCAACACCAAGCTTTAGCAAAGGCAAAACTGCGTTATAAAACTATACCGGTTGTTGTACGATCGCAGTTAAGTTCATCCCCTCCATCATCACAATTTGGTGTTCCATCGCAAACTTGATCAGCGCAAATAATTCGCGAACCATCATGACAACGAACCGAATCATCAGCTCTGCAATTGCCGTCATCGCCGTCACCGCTTCCACCATCGAACGGTGGTTCAGTGGGTTCCGGGGTGGTTGTCGTGGAGGATGTTGGTATAATGGTGGTTTCCGGTTGTCTTCTAGTGGTCGTTTCAGGAGGCCTTTGCGTTGTTATAGAGACTGTTGTTATTTGTTCTGTCGTCGTAGTTATTGGATCTGGTTCTAGTAGTTACATATATTTGTAGTATAGAAAACACGGGGTTTTCCAAAATAAAAGGTTATTTAAATACGGTATAATACACATGAAAACTTATAATTTTGGATTTCGACACAATATTTTCGAAAAATGTAGTTTTACGAACGAAGAGCTTGCAAACATCCATTTTGTTTATGGATTTAGAACGGGCGATCTTTAACTGCCCAAAGAGAGAGAGAGAGAGAGAGAGAGAGAGAGAGATACTGTAGCATAATTATTATACAGAGAGGCCCAAAAGTCTGAAAACGGCCAATTATCTCGTAAATTGCTAATCCTAATTGTACAAAATTTGAGGTACACCTATTTTGGGATACGGTGATTCCAGATTTGATATTTAAAATGTTGCCAGATTTGCCGTTTCTCTTAAATTATTAGTCACTTTGGTTTTTCAAATTCATCACCCTGTATATTACGTCATTATTGGAATGTCCTATTCAATACGAGTTCAACAAAATGTAACACTTATGATTTTATGTAGTCTGGAAGGTCTTAAATAAATAAAATAAATCTGGCAAAGCCTAATTGTCTCAATCAATTTTTTAATACAAACTATTTTCAACTACATTAAAACCTTAGATAAAAGAGACCGGAGATGTAACATTGCACATTGCGCATGTTGTCTATTCCAAACCTAAGTAACCCACCAATTAAAAATCATTGTGTTCACGACGCCACCCGAATTGCTCCGAAATTTCTATTCTTTGCTTGTCTCCGCGTGAGTAAACCATTTATGGACCGCCGTTTTTGAATTATTTGTTGGTGTTATTAGCAATTTAAAGTGTTTTAGTTATTTAATTTCAAGTTGAAAATGCCACGATGTATGGTGAAAAATTGTATATACAAATAATATGTGTCAATGTTATGAAAAATAAGAAATATATTCGTTTTCAGCGGTAAATATTGGTTGACGTTTTGACATAAAGTCGCCATGATTCTTTGAGCTGAATACTTCAGATCCGCATTAAGGGGTTTCAATAAATATTTAATCTAAATAAGAAGTAAATAGGCATTGTTACTAACGAAATTTTGTTTTTAAAAAGTAGTTTTATAAGAATATTTACTAAAAGTGGTTTTTAGCCCTTTATTAGATATTTTTACAAGAATATTAGATGAAATACAGGTTCACCTACTTAAAATTTCAAGGTTTATTTTATTTGCGGTTAAATCAGAAGTGACATTTGAATCTTAAAACAAAGTAAAACGCGCAATATGATCTAGTATAAGCAAAAAATACTAAAGTTACGGAAATTAGTCATATTATTAGTAAAATGTTACATTATAAACCCCTAAACAACTCGAAAAATATCTTCGTTTACTAAAAAAATCTAAATTCTAGCAATATTTATTATACAATCGAATCCTGTTTCAAAGATAACAGGATCAATAAATCCGAATCTCTAAATTTTGGAGCTAAATGCTCTGATAAAAGCATGCGACCGATAGGGGTTACAAAAATAATCGATTTATCGTTTTCATGAAAATCGATTTATCCGTTATAATTAATAGATTATCTTTAATAGATTATTTTTGATTAATCGAACATTTTTAATAAATTTTTTTCGTTTTTTTAGGTAATGGAATAATCGATTATAAAGGAATTACAAAAAGAGAGTAGATTTATTCAAAATATTCGATTTATTGAAACTAATCGATTTTTTAGAAAAATCGATTTATTGTTTAATAGACTTTTTAAATTAATCGATTATTTTCGATTAATCGATTATTTTAGATTAATCGATTATATTAGATTTTTCAAAGGTATTCAAATAATTTGTTTTAAAATACAACAAATAGATTATATAAAAATAATCGATTGATCGAATATAATCGGTTATATTATATAATCGATATTTCGGTTATTTTTTAGAATTATTGATTTATCGGTAAATCAGCTTTTTATTAATCAATTATTTTCGATTTTTCAAAGAAAATTAAATAATCAGTTTTAAAAGGAATATAAAAAAAGAAAAGGATTATTTGTAAATAATCATTAATTATTCAGTTTTTTTTTTTTTGGAAAATCGGTTTATCGTAGAATCTTCTTAATTAATTGGTTATTTTCCGTTAATCGATTATTTTCGATGTTTCAAAAATGATCGAATAATTGATTTTAAAGGAAATAATTTTTTTTTTTTTTGAAAAATCGATTTATCGATTATTCGACTTTTTAATTAATCGATTATTTTAGATTTTTCAAAGATTATCGATGGAAATACGAAAAAAAAATAAGAAATTAAAAATAATCGATTATTTAAAATAAACGATAATTCGTTTATTATTTTTTGTAAACACTGATTTATCGGTTAATTGGCTTTTTAATAAATCTATTTTTTTTTATTTTTTAAAGATAATCAAGTAGTCAATTTTAAAGGAAATACGAACAAAAATAGATTGTTTGAAAATAATCGATTGATCGAAAATAATCGATTATTATTAATGATCAATAATTTATTTCGATAATCACCCACTCCTAGCGACCAAATGACTTTTAATAGGTTTAAATTTTAAAATGTTATCTGGTTTCAGACATATACATTTCTAGAGTTTTATGTGACGCATCCTCTATATTAATTAATATTCCTAAAGAAACAAGCTTTAATATATCTTTTTCTGAGGTTATAATACAAAACAGCATTTTCTCATTTTGACTAAATTTTAATATTATGTGATAGTCGTAGAAAAAATATAATGTTCAACTCACAAGGTTTGATTTGCAGTATTCACCTGCGCACATGCTTTTTTATAATACTCTTAGACAATGAGTACCATTTCTTACTCGATTAACAATATTCTATTTCAACATTTTACTGTAGTCTCTTACAGAAAAGTCCATAGTAAATAATAGCTAACGAAATATTCTATTAAAGGTCTTCTCTTTACATAAAATGTCGTGGCATCTGTTTGATATTAAAAAATCACGTTAAATTTATTTCATAATACAAAATTCCATTAAACGTATATTTTAAATAAATCTAATAGTTCTTTATGATGCTAATAAACAAAGTCCGGTCCCTGTCACAGAGTTTGAGTCCCCGCCCAGTTCCCCCACTCCGTTAACCTTTCTTTAGAAATTGACAACATTTGCGCAGGTTAAACACCGGTGTATGTTATATCTCTGGTCTCTTTTATCTAAGATTAAAACGAACAATTGAAAGATTATAACATTTTTAACATAATGGCTACTTTATCAAGTGTTCAAAATATGCTCCATTTGTGAGTTGACAGTACCCTAATCGATGGTAATATGCGTCAACCACATTTCTCCATGATTGTTTTATTTATTTAAGACCTTCCAGACTATATAAAATCATGTGCTACATATGGTTGAACTCGTATTGAATAGGAGATTCCAATAATGACTGAATATACAGGGTGATGAATTAGAAAAACCAAAGTAACTAATAATATAGGAGAAACGGCAAATTTGGCAACATTGCAAATATCAAATCTGGAATTTCCGTATCCCAAATTTTGTACAATTAGGATTAGCAATTTACGAGATAATTGGCCGTTTCCAAACTTTTGGGCCACTCCGTATATTATACAATATTATACCAAATTATATCAAATGATACTAGATTATACTAGATTATACTAGATTATACTAGATTATACTAGATTATACTAGATTATACTAGATTATACTAGATTATACTAGATTATACTAGATTATACTAGATTATACTAGATTATACTAGATTATACTAGATTATACTAGATTATACTAGATTATACTAGATTATACTAGATTATACTAGATTATACTAGATTATACTAGATTATACTAGATTATACTAGATTATACTAGATTATACTAGATTATACTAGATTATACTAGATTATACTAGATTATACTAGATTATACTAGATTATACTAGATTATACTAGATTATACTAGATTATACTAGATTATACTAGATTATACTAGATTATACTAGATTATACTAGATTATACTAGATTATACTAGATTATACTAGATTATACTAGATTATACTAGATTATACTAGATTATACTAGATTATACTAGATTATACTAGATTATACTAGATTATACTAGATTATACTAGATTATACTAGATTATACTAGATTATACTAGATTATACTAGATTATACTAGATTATACTAGATTATACTAGATTATACTAGATTATACTAGATTATACTAGATTATACTAGATTATACTAGATTATACTAGATTATACTAGATTATACTAGATTATACTAGATTATACTAGATTATACTAGATTATACTAGATTATACTAGATTATACTAGATTATACTAGATTATACTAGATTATACTAGATTATACTAGATTATACTAGATTATACTAGATTATACTAGATTATACTAGATTATACTAGATTATACTAGATTATACTAGATTATACTAGATTATACTAGATTATACTAGATTATACTAGATTATACTAGACTATACTAGATTATACTAGATTATACTAGATTATACTAGATTATACTAGATTATACTAGATTATACTAGATTATACTAGATTATACTAGATTATACTAGATTATACTAGATTATACTAGATTATACTAGATTATACTAGATTATACTAGATTATACTAGATTATTACTAGATGAATTTTTCATATTTTTAGGGAAAATTTGAGATTTTTCATATCCTCATAATTACTTTAGATTTTCTTTTTATAGAAAATTTGAAGTTTTGACATACCAGGCGTTCTTGGAAGCGATATTTCTGGGAAACTATCAATCTTATCGAAGTTAACCAAGGGTACCATTTTGTCGTAGAAATTTTATAAGTATGGTAGAGAATAGACATTTTTACATCATTCTCCCAGTTAAAACTATAAAGTTGACACATTCAGAACATCAATTTTAAGAAATTTGAAATATTAGTTATCGGTAACGATTTTGAAGATATCGTTAAAAAACAATATCGTCAGTGGGTTATCTACAAAGGGGCGTTGCTC